TTGAGAAAGTTGCCTTCTATTCCTAGTTTATTGAGAGGTGTCATCATCAATGGATGTTGAATTGTCAAATGTTTTTTTTTCTATGTCTGTGTAGTTGATAGTGTGGGTTTTACCATTTCTTTCATTAATATGGTGCAGAACGTTCATTGCTTTTTGGATGTTACTACACTTAATCTTAGCCAAAAGGTCCGAGAAGCAATGATTTTTGGATGTTAAATGAAGGTGACAGCCTTAGGATATATCCCATTTAGTCCTGGTGTATAAATCTTTTTCTTTGTTGCAGAATTCCGTTTGCTAATGTCGTGTTTTCAAGATTTTTGCATCTATCTCCATGGACTTTAAATACCTATTAAAAATGGGTATTTAAAACAATACATTTCCCTTTAAGCAAAAGCTGCATTCTGATGTGCTGTCTTCATTTTTATTCATTTAAAACTATTTTCTAATTTCTCCTGTAATTTCAATTCACATTCAAAAATGTGCTTAATTTTCAAATATTTGAGGATTTGCAAAATTTCTAACTTCTAATTTAATTTCATGGTTGGAGAACATTCTGTGATTTCAATCCTTTAAATTCATTGAGACTTCTTTTATTAAATAGCATGTAGTCTTCCCTTATTGTGCACTAAAAATATGCATTCTGATGGCGATGGGGTGGTGGTCTATAAGTGACAGGAAATGTTGGCTGATAGCATTAAGTCTTTTATCTGCTTGGTAGTTTTCTGTTGAGTTGTTCTATCAATTATTGTGAATGGGGTGTCAAAATTTCCAAATATTATTGGTGAATTGTCTATTTCTCCTGTCAATTCTATCATTTTTTTTTTCTTCATGTTGTTTTGCAGTTTGGTTTGGTGCACATACATTTGTTAATTATTGTATCTCCCTGATACATTTATACTTTTACCATTTGAAATGTCCTTCTCTATTTCTAGTAATATTCTTGCCTGAAAGCTCACTTTGATATTAATATAGCCATTCCAGTTCTTTTAAGGTTACTGTTTGCATATTATATATTTTTCCATTTTGCAAACTGTTTGTGTCTTTGAATCTAAAATATGCTTCTGTGAACACTATACACTTGATCCTTGCCTTTTTTTATCCCTCTTGGCAATTTCTACCTTTTGATCCAAGTGTTTAGTTCATTCACATTTAATGAAATTATTGGCATGCTTGGGCTTATAACTGCTATTTTGCTCTGTTCCCCAAATGTCTCATATTTTTTGTTGTCTGTCCCTCTCACGCTGCCTTTTGTGTTAAATATTTCTTAGTGTATCATCTTAATTTCTCTGTTGACTTTCTAACTATATTTAAAAATGGATTGTTTAGTGGTTGCTCTAGGGACTACAGTATGCATGTCAGTTTATCATTATCTTCCTCAGAGTTATACAAATTAAATCCAATAAAATATAGCGTTCCAATATAACTCCATTTCCTACCCCTTTTGTGCTGTTATTATAATATACACGATATCTATGCAATATACCCAAAAATGTCTAAAAATATAGTTTTTAATTATTTATATAATCTTATGTCATTTAAAGAAAACATGTATTTATTGTGGTAGGCAAATATATCTCCAAGATTCCCACCCTTTAGTGATTTAATCAAGCACTAATCTCAGTACTGCTGTGAAAGGACTTTGCAGATAAAACTGAGGTTACTCAATAGGGAGATCATCCTGGATTATCCAGATGGGTCCAATGTAATCACGTGACCCCCACAAGCAGAAGGGGGAAGCAGACGAACAATAGAAATGTGACAGTCGAGGAGAGCTGAGGCAGAAGGGGAGGTCAGAGAGCTGAGGGCTGAGGAAGACTCAACCTGTTGCTACTGATTTTGACAATGGACAAGGGGGCATGAGCCAAGGAGCATGAGCAGCTTCTAGAAACAGTACGACCCCTGGTCAACAATCAGCAAGGAAACGGAGACCTCGGTCCTTCAACCACATAGAGTTGAATTCTGCCAACAACCTAAATGAACTTGGAAGCCTTTTCATCCCAAGGCTGTAGAAAAGAATGTAGCCCAGCTAACACCTTAATCTCGACCTTTTAAAAATGGAGCAGAGAACCCATTTAGTTACACTCTGCCCAGGCTTCTTATGAACTCTGAGATCCTAAGTGCGTGTTGTTTTAAGCCAGTGCCTTTTTGGTAACTTATGATGGCAGTGGTACAATCATGTCATCTTTTATATTTACCCACAGTCACCATTTCTGGTGCTCATTTCATCCTGTGGATTCAGGTTACCTTCTGGTGTCTTTATTTTCATAGTTCTTATAAGGCGGATATCCTTAGGCAACCAATGGTCTTGGTCTTTGTGAATATCTTTTGCTTTATTTTGGCTCTCATTTTTTAAAGCTGTTTTAGTTGTGTCCAAATCCTGTAATGCTCCAAGTGAGTTTCTGGAGTTTCCCGAGTATAAGAGTCACTCTTGAGCACCCAGCCCCTTTGCTGGTCCTGATTCAGACTTCAAGGAGACAGGCCAAGCAGGCTTGAAGATTCAATTTAGGAATATCAGACATCCTAGTAGCTCCTTCTGGGGAGAGTGTCAACTCTGTGGATTTATTCCTTCAGGTATGCAGGTCCTGAATCTGAATCTAGCCGTAGGATGCCCAGCTCTTCTGAACTGGCTACAGGAGCTCAGGGTGGCAAGAGTCACCTTCCCCCATGCTCTGGTGAGACCCACAGTTGGAAAAGGAAGGATCCCAGAGTGACATGGAAAAATCAGGGCAACTGTATTCAGGTTCCATCCCTGTTCTGGAGCCAGAACTGCAGAATCACAGCAGATTTCACTTGTACTGCTCAAGATTGTCTCAGATCTAGGCAGTTCTGCTATATCCTGAGAACAGAGTGGTCACTTTCAGGGCTGTTTTTTTGGGGGGAGGGGGGTGTTAGGTGGGGGCTATGAAAAGAGAGATGCTCCAGGCCTCTCAATTCTCAGAGACTGGGGTGGAACACTCAAGCTGGCTCTGGGGCTTGGCCAGCTGCCACTGGGGCAAGCTGTACAACTTCGTAAGCTGAAACCCCCAGGGGACATGCTGGGCTTCACCTGGGTGAAAGAAGCTCACAGGTGGAAGGGCGAGTAAAGGAAAGGGGGCCACTCCCGGGCTTCCCACACAACACCTGCCTCACCTCTATCAAACCCACCCTCAGCTCACCTTCAGCCAATCCCTAAAGGCCAGATTCCCAGGTTCCTCTCATGCCCAGGCACTCTCCTTAAGATGCCTTCCTCAGTCCTTATTTGCAAAAATCAGGTGAGACCACACATGTCAAAAGCCCTTGGCCTAAACACAAACACTAGGTACTGGCAAACACAGTCATCTCTCACACCTGGAATTCAATCCCAAGAGTGCCTTTAATCCATCCCTTATCAGGTGCCCACCTCTGTTCCAGCTTGTGGATCCAACAGCCACCTGATTCTTGAAGGCATCAGGAGTGCTAAGCAACAGTTCTCATTTTTAGTGTACGTAGATGCCCAGCACCTTCCCCACAAAGCTTGTCTTTTTAAAATGTCTTAAATGGCCAAGCAGTCTATCAATCCACACCTCCCTTCACACATGGGACTAGGGCTCCTGGAGCACCATGTTACATTTTAAGACCTCTTGTATTGTAGTACTCCCTGTCACACAGTGCATGCACATTCAGTTCTCAGTCCCTTCCAATACAGCCTCGTGTCTCCTACTTCTTCCCGACTCCCTCTTTTTTCTCTTTCTCCTCTTTAGAACACCGAAGTTGCCAATCCCTCCTTTACAAATTCCATTCTTAGTAAGAAAGAAAAATAGTCCCGAGTTTTTATTTTCCTTTTTTTTTTTTTTAGCTGACACAAACATTACTTTTTCTACAATAATTTCATGCTGCAAAACTACATCTTGCCTATAATTCTTGAAAACCATGCATGGCTGAATTCTAGCTTTTATAACCACCTTTTCTGCTCATTTTTCAGAATAGTCCCACTGTTTGGTAAATGTTCAGTTATAAAACCAAGAGTGTGCAGAGTTGCAAGTTACATCCATCAGGCCATACACATGAAAATGCTTTTCTCCAAGCTAGGGAACACCAAGGCAGAAGAGACTTGGAGAAAGCTAGTTCTGCTGTTTCTCTGAATGCATGACATCTTTCAAGTAATTAATTCCACTTCTCCCCAACTTCCAACAAAAGCACCCTGGTGACATGTCTTCTTTATTATGAAGAAAAAGAAATACCTAAATGCAGCCTTCAAATTGAAGTGCCTAGTCTTTATTGTGAGAACAACTCCATCACGAAGCTCCTAGAGTCAGTCAAGGGCTTGGGAACTACATCTCCTCTCTCGATCACCATTTTCACAGTTCTCATCAGCCAAGTTCTCAAACCTGGAGACTATTCAAATCGACTTTTTTTTTTAAGCCTATTTCTACAAATTATACCCATTCTCACAAATCCTTCAATTAGGAAAGAAGATGAAAATACTTGAATTTTTCCTTTGAAAAGCATTCAAAAACTTTTGAGAATCAAAACAGCAACACCGGTCAGATATAGTGGCTCACGTCTGTAATCCCAGCACTTTGGGCGGATAAGATGGGAGGACTGCTTGAGCCCAGGAGTTTGAGACCAGCCTGAGCAATATAGTGAGACCTTGTCTCTACAAAAAATAAAAAAATTAGCCAGGCATGGTGGCGCACCTGTAGTCCCAGCTACTTGGGAGGCTAAAGCAGAAGGTCCTGAGACCAGGAGGTCAGGGCTGCAGTGGCCATGGGCGTACCACTGCACTCTGGCCTGGGCCATAGAGATCACCATAAACTTAGCAAATGTGCTGAGTCAACGGCAAGAGGATTCACATGTAGACAGATTCATTGTGGCAGACTGTACCCCCAGGTGGAAAGAAGCCACCAGGTGGGGAGATACACCTGTAGGCAGGTGGGCACTTCTCTATTATAATGCAGAAGGGTTGGAAAATCTCTAAAGATGCTTGTAACCCAGAGATTCTAGGTGCTGCCTACAACAACTACACTTCATAACAGCATGGCTCACTCCAACATTCACACTTTATTTTAAAATATGCCACTGGCACTTGAGAAAAAAAGTAATTTATTTGCATTGCTTCCATTTTTCTACTGTAGTGTAGTGTTAGGACTTAACATAAGCATCACTCTTCTATGTCCTATTTACATTCATCTGGAATATTACTACAAATACAATATACAATTTAAAAAACTTATGGGGAAACGCAGCTTATGTTTTTCTCTCCTCTTTACAGGCTTCTCAAAGTCATCCAACTTAAATGACAATTTCTATGGACATTTTCTGTACATATCTGAAAGGGCAGAGATGACACTGGTAAAGCCAGAAGAATTTTGCACAAATACAATAAAATACAGATAACAGAAAGTATAGATGATGTTATTTGGGGTACAAATATAAACAATACAGTACCATTTGAGTAATTTAGCAACATAATACCCATACTTTATAGAAATAAAACTGCAAACCTGGAGAATGCTCTGACAAATATTAAACATTATATATACACAATGAGGTAAATGTACCTTGGTCTCTTGAGAGGTAATTTAAGTTTAAAGCAATTGACATTCTGAAGCATCTCCTTGACATATAAAGAATATCAAACACCCCATTCCATTGGCACATGTGAAAAAGGGATATCAAAATATGGTTCATGATATTCAATTCACAATCCTTGTTAAAAAATAAAAATAAGTTCACTGAAATTCTTGAAAGTTTTAAGAGACAGGTTGAATGGTTATTAAACATATTTTTTGAAGTTTACATTTACAAATAAGATTGCATCATGAGATTTAATGTACTGACAGTCCTCATAATGTCTTAGAAGTCCAGCATTCTTAGAGAGGGCTCATGGGTATTCCAGCATTCCAAAACAGACACAAGAAGCTGCAGTACACGTCCAGAGCTAGTCTTCAGGGTCTCAAAATATTTGAGTTGGCATTTTCTGAGCTGTAGCTGTAACAGAACCATTATTTGGAATCTCTATCATTTGGAACCAGAACACTGCCACGGTCAAGAAATAAAAGAAGCTGCTGACTTAAAATCATTCTTTCAGTGCAAGGATAAAAATAAGTTTTGATATGACATGTCTAATTACGGACCTTGTTGTGCATTTTAATTAGCTCTTTGCCATCTTGTTTTACAAAATAGTCTGTATCTGACAGTTCTCAGACACAGAGGGAAAAAAAGGTAACATGCATGGACTACAAAACGGCCAAGTGACCACTGAAATTCTGTAATAAGGACTGAAATCTAGGCCATGACACTGCACATTGACTCAAGGCACTTCTTGAGCGCTGTCAGTACAGGAGAACTGCAGGCTCAGCTCTTCGGGCCTTACCCTGTCCTGTGAGGGATACAACTGGGTCATTGTTTCTGGCACAATTCCCACTGCCACACAGTCACCCTGCTGCCACCCCACTCCTCGTCCATGGCTAAAGCCAAAGAAAGGCAATTGCAGTAGCATCCAAAACCTCATCTGCTCAATCTCCAAACCTGGAGACCCCTCCCTTCCAATGACAGAAGAAAATGAAGTGTGTCCCACAACGTCCATCCGTCATTTTACTCTAGGTCTCGAAAGCAAATCTAGGCTGGGAGGAGGCAATGGTCTCTGAGTCAGGAACCAGCGGGAAAGCAGGTTGGGAGAGGCAGAGCTGAAGACAGGAAGGACAGACCACGAATGTCTATGCCCCACTAAGTCATACTTTCCCCATACCTACTCTTGACAAAATGAATGTGAATATGTACTTTGCCAGAAGATATGTTTTAACAAAGTTGAATCTTGGAAGGTGAGCATCCTCTGATAGGCAGTATAAACAAAGAACTGTGTTTCTAAATGACAAAATTATTACTTTTGTCAAACTTATCTGCAGTTATGGCCACAGTAATTAAAGGCATCTCCTCTTTTAAGTTATTTTCATTTTTAATACCAGCCAATCGGGGTTTATCAAGCCATTCCTAACCAAAAGGAATTAACTGCAGTAATATGTAAACTCAATTTAGAACTAAATTCCAACTTTAAAAAAATTCCCTGATTCATCAAGAGTACATTTTATCCATGAAGGCTAAAACAGTATCACTGTAACTCAATCTTTGATTTAATAAAGAATATTTTCAGCAAAAGTTGAATACCTTACATGAAAGTGAGAAACCATGTATTACAACTTTAAATCAGACAACTTTTGGTATGTTCTTAAAATTATATAAAAATAGTTTTAGTGATAAAATGTATTGGTCCCCTGGATTTCATAAAGCAGATCAGATAGGCTTAGAAATGGCCCAAAAAAAGTACCTGATCACAAAATTAGAGATTATTATTAATCAAGTTATATAACAAAACTATAAAAACTAACCTCTCAAACTCATTCATTTGCTTCAATGAAATCATGGTAATTACAGAAAAAACTCAAATTGGTAGTCAAAATAGTAATCTCTAAGCACATTTCCCCCATGTTTTTAAACACATGAAATTGACACTAAATTCCTATGTAATATGTCACTCATTCTAAAATCACTTTGGTTTTAAGACCAAATAGTCTTTCCAATTTGTTCTATGTATAAGAGATAAGACATTATCAGAATGCAACTCATTCAGCGTAAATGGCCACTATCTCTTCCTGACCAAAATACTGTAAAGGTTATTCTGACCCTTTTATCGGGGAATTGATAGCACTATAAAGTCAAAGTCTTGCCTCACAACTATGAAAGTTTTTCTCCCCTCAGAATAAGATCACAGTGATAAAAAGGATTTTGAAAACTGTAAAAGCCCTGCAAAGACTTGATAGCACTGGAAGTAAAAACCAGTTATTATAAACCAGTTTCAACTGAATGTGAGAAGACCATGACAAGTTTGCTTAAAACATTTAACCTGACCAAAAACCTCTGTAAGTGGAAAACCTATACTCAGAATGTTCTTTAGCTATCACCTCTCCCAGTATCAAGGGTGTACTGAATTCATTACACAAATCACATGGAAATTAAGCAGTTGTAGTATCTGCACGCATAAGGAAACACTGAATTAAAAGCTGCCTTCCTCAAAGGGTAGTGGGACCTCAAAACCACACTAACTCTAACCTTAGTTACAAAGACAGAGTCCACCGAACATTTACTCCTACATAACAAATGTGACTTGCGTGCACACCCGTTATCTATTCGAATTATTAACTGCTTCTGCCTTACTAGGAAAAGACCTATTATTTAACATTAACCATATTCTAACTTTAAATGTAATTAATTTCTTAAAAAAATAACACTGTCTTTGAACAGATAAAGGAAAAAATGTCTTACAGAATACCACACAACTTTTCACAAGCAGCTAGACAAACTTTCCCTTTTAGAAAAATTAGTCTGTAGGCTACACACTTTAAAATATTACGTACTATAAGCATCTAGAGTGCCACTTGATTTTTTAAAAGTATACTGAGACAACACAATTAAAATGCAAAAGCTTAATGTGAGAATATTCAAACATGACCATGATAACAATTTACTAATTAATGCCACTTCATTTCTTTAGTGGTTTAAGCACATTTGGTAGGAGAAAGGCATTTTCAAAATGGAATACCAAATGACACACCACAAAAACCCTTTCAAAAAACAAAACAGAAATAGTTTGGGTTACCCAGATAAATAAACTTTTGGAAGTTGAAACACTATAGGCTTTAACATAGAGACTTCAAGCAACTCTACTTGATTCCATTAGAAAGACACAGAAGTGGCACTTACTGGTATAGTACAATCCCATTTTGAAGGCATGTAACGTTCTGAATATGTGAAAGAACAGTAATAGTATACAAAATACAATTGCATAAATTATGTTCCTCACTACTATATGAGGTCATTTTTAGACTCAAGATAAGAGTTTTATAAGTGTTACTTTTAAGATCCTGAAAAATTATAGAACAGTACATTCAAAGTCTGAATCAAGGAAACTTGTTAGTGGTTCAGAATCCTCTGAGAATGTACTAACCAGGAGTAAATCACTTTCTTTAAAAATAAGAAATGTTTCATTATAACTCATCAATTCAGTTCCTTTACTCTTAAAGATGATCTTTAGCACAAAAGTTACCTAAAGTTAAGACCAGCAATCATCTTTTTAAAAAACAAGTTTTGTTAATAAAAAATAAAAGTAGACTACACAACATTTTATAACTGTCCTGGGAAAGAAGCGTTCATAGTGCACAGAAAGAACCCATGTGGCTGTTTCCTGGGTCCAAAGAAATACTGGGAAGTTTTTAATTGACTTTAGTACACTGCTGCCCAAGGAAGCAATATCCTTCTGTTCCCTCTCAATGAGGTAGAACAACTGACCTCCCAAATTAACCCAGGAGCAGATCTGAAGAAAAAAGCAGAGTTCAGGTAAAGCCACAGAATTACATTTTGATGCCTTCCTGTTGACTGAGTTGTGACAATGTTTTCTTGATCCGCAAAGCTGTAAGCCTTGCTGCTCCATTGGCATACCAACATTCTCTCATAATTTTAGCCATTACTCTCAAGGCCTACAAGAAAATATGAGAAAAATAATTAATCCACTGATTAGGATAAGAATCTTTACCTGTACATTTTCTTTTAAAATCACACGTGGGGGGTGGGGTGTGTGGATGACACAACATCAATAAGGGTACCTGATCTCAAACTGGGCAAAGTGGGGACCAAAGGGAGGCCCAAACTTTACCTGTAAGATGACTACTTGTATCCCTAATCCTGAATTGTACCCCACATCTTTAAAATAAAAAATAAAAAAGTAGGCCATTGCCTTGCGAAGCTGTGGTTTGGCAATGTGCTCTTAAGCTTTGGACCCCTCCTCTACTTTGGAGAGGTGAATCTTCTCTTTCTCTCTCTCTCCAATTTACTTTCTAAATAAACTATACTTTTGAATCTAAAAAAATTAAATTTTTAAAAATAAAACCACACGTACATTTTTGTTTGTTTCAGCAATATTTATATAGCAAATGAGTAGGAATTACTTGACTCTCCATCAGCAGTTACTGGTGGCAGCAGCAGGAAAGCAGACGGGCAAGGGTAACTGACTTAAGCCTAAAAACGCTGAATCCTGAGCCCAAGCTCAGGAGAAAAACAAACCTGACTCACACTGAAACTAAGTTTGTACTTTGAAGTATCTAGATCAGATTTTAAAAAGACAAAAATCTAGCTCTACTCTCATTTGTTAAAGTTATGTCACATGCACATTCTTTGAGTACACGAGATAGATTTCATGTGGGTCCGGATACATACTTTGGTTGGAGGTAGCAAGCTCTCTTGATATCAAAGGTTCTGCTGAGTCCTACATTATTTTAAGATGCAAAATAAACTACTGAAATGATCTGCTTTCTATAGTCTTTTTAAACTACAAAACTGCAAATCTGAAGGATATGCCCTTTTCACCAATATTATGATAGGAGAGAAATAAAATTCATGTTCTGAATTCTATACATTTACAACTAAGAAAACATTTCTAAAACTTTTGTTGGAGCTGCGATTAAGAAGTTCAGACACTGCTGGAAAGCATTTTCCCCAAATTCCTGGTTAATGGTCACCAAGGCAATCAGAGGAATAAAATGCAAAATCATTTGAATCAACCTCGTAATCATCTTATCTGAATTCCTCATTTCACAAAGGGATATTAAGGTCCAGAGAACCAAAGTGATTTGTTTGAAGTCAGCCTCTGAAATGGTAGCCAGGCTAGTCTCGGTCTCCTAATTCTTGTCCAGTATTTGTCCCACCGTTCTATGCTATCCTGGCTGAAGGGAGGCATTCATTTAAAAAGCACATGCCTTAGTCCATCTGGCAGACCTAAACAATGTTCTGATACATTGATGGCTACTGCAAATGCCCTATGGCCCTTTCAATGTGCTTAAAATTGAATGTGAAAACCAAATTACTCTGTTGTTACTCATTGGTTTAACTGTTATGAAAAAGAAAAAAGTGAATTCTTGTCTGTTTTTCTGCTTACTTAGAAGCAGTTTAGAAAACTGTCTAATATCAAAAGGAAATACTCACTTCACAGCTCTGCCATCTGTTTGGAATATTTGGCCTTAACTTCTGTTCACAAACAACTTTTCTCATTTCTTCAACTGATGGATCAGAAGGTACAAGATCATAATAAGGCAGCTGGTAATCTTCATGAATTCCTATATTGGTAAAAAAAAATTCTGTTTTGAAAATATATTCAGCTAATGGCAAATCACGAGAAGGATCAACTGTGAGACCTATCCCAGTGCCCATTACTAATTAGGGAGGCTTACCGCTTTCTCTATCTCATCCACATTTGCATCAACAACCCCTTCCCTGAGTTGGTACTGGGCCCACATCTTGAAACTGCCATGAGATAAGTAAAGGCTGTTTTTAATGATGGTTAACTATGAGCTGTGATGACCAGACTAGCATCTTCCCCTAGAACTCTACTGTGCAGCAAATGAGGTGTTATTCTTCGGATGCACAGCTTCTCACTTGTACAGGGATATATATACTCCATCGTGAGACGTGAGTCCTACAAGGCAGGCCTGAGGTGCAAGTCCCTTCCTCTACTTGCATCTGTCAGCAACAGGTCCTATTTGCTACAATACAGAGGCATACTCTGTCTCTAACTACCTCAAAAAACTACCCAGCCAAGCCTGGGCTCTCAAGCCTAAGAGACTGTTTGTTGAATAACATTAAAAAGTACTCCATCTAAAAAGCTAAAAGTTAAAAGAAACTAAAAAGTAACATAGTGGCAATGTAATCATAGTCTGCATACATAGTCTCCAACTAGCAAGGCAGAAAAAATAGCCACAATCTCAAGGAAAAAAAGTAGGCTGGATATCCAGATACATGCTAGAAACAGCTTCTTAGGAAGCCTCTGAAGCAGCTGTCCATTCTAAATTACTATGTTCCAAGAAAACAAGGGGTTGGGTTTTGAGGATTCCAAGATTCAAATGGAAAGAGGAATAAAATACGCTAGGCTGAAGCTGTACACATGCATGCCATGTCACTGTCCCCTCCCACAGGTTTCATCTTCCATGCTTCTTTGACATTTTCAGTGACAGCCTGTTTCAGACCGCTGAATGTATATAACTTCATTCATACAAAGGCAATTCTTGAACAGCTTCTGTTAATGACAAACTATTGGGAGAGAGGGGAGCAATTTACCACCAATGGAACATCGTCGAGCGATTTCCCAGAATACTAAGCCCATTGCATAGATGTCAGCACGTTTGAAGGATTCAAAATGTTTCATATTTATAGAATCATCGAGAACTTCAGGGGCCATGTACCTAAAAAGAAGTCAACATTTTATTTTATTAAATGGTGGCCACATAATTTCTGAAATGTTTCATGATTTTTCTTTATCTTCTGAAAATAAAAAGCAAAACAAAATCATTATTAAATTTTAAGAGTTTTCCTTCTTTAGCATGGTTCTGTTTTAGAAAATGATTCTAACTTCTTATTAAAAATTCCCTAAAGTAAATAAAGACCTATGAAGATCTTTCTCTTACTGTCACACAGTGTTAACATTTTGATGAACATTCTTTCAGACACTTCTCTGTGCATAGACATCTATATACAATATTACATAACTGAGATCATATCACACTCAAGAAAAATATCAAACATTCATACTGGTTTGCACATTAGTGATGTCAACTAAACGCCACAAAGGCAGACAGTTTCATGCTATCTGCCTTACGATCTTGGCTTCCAATGAAGACACACATGTAACCACTGTGACTGTTATAGATATCCTGATGTACACTACCTGTACCAGTACTATGAAGGAACTATACATTTTAGCCTAGAATTCTTCTCACTGAAACAGGATGAAGGAAGGGCAGGAACATACTCCAGGGAACAAAACAGATATAAACAAATGTCAATTCTCATACTGATGCTACATTATAAGATTCTGAAGTTTCAAAAACCCTACCAAGGTTACTGGTTAGGACCCATGACCTGCAGCAACCACTGTCGAGGGCCCCTCATCTAGTGGACAGTTCTAACAGTCCTCACTGAATCCAGAAACCCCCAAATCATAAATGCAGAGTAGACAGACTAATGCTGCTGGCTCTCTCCAAGGCCAAGGCAGTAGTTTTGGAAAAAGGTTGTGACAACATGACACGATAAGGGCTTTGGAGTCAGAAAGGACCAGGGTCAAATCTCAGCTCTTCAGTTTACCATCCATATGAAGTTGGCCACATTCTTAACCTCTTTGAGGTATTTTCCTAATCTGTGAATTAAGGGTAATGACACCTAACTAATTGTGTTCTTTAGAACCTAATTGGACTCAATAAATATTTATTGAGGATATACCATGCATTAGGTACTATGATGGATGCTGGGAATACAAGGAATATAAAGACGAGTGGATGGTTTAAGGTAATGTGGTAAAGGCTTCAAGTGTCCATCCAGGTGAAGCATGCTGTGACAGCCCTTGGCAGAAACACCTAAGAGTCTTGAGGACCAGAAAAGGCTTCTTGTGGGAAAGGAAAGGTGAGTGTGTGTTAGGGAAACAGTAAGGGAAATGATGCTTTAAGGAAGAGAAAAGGCATATTTTCAGGAACTGAAATATGAAAGCAGCTGTGCTAGCTGTAGCACAGCATTTATGGAGGGTAATACATGAGGTAATATATGAAAAAGTTCTATCAAGATGACTGGCACATGGCAGGTACTCTATAAATATTAGTTACTATTGTTATCGTTGTTAACATAACTAACTAATGTTTTCTGCAAGGGTCACTTTCATCAGCAGGTATCTTAAGTCAGGTAACCTTGGCTTTAGAGCAGGCAAGACCATGAGATCTTCTACCTGTGGGCAATCTAAAAAGGACAAGTCTGAGCTGAGTTTCAGATAGGATATGCATATAAATATGAGAAGGAGAAGGAAAAGTTGATTTCAGAGATATTAAATGCTACTTATTCACAAGTATACCTTTTTGTTCCCACTCTGTGGTTTGGAGCAATATCAATTGTATCTGTGGCTGAATCGTGTCTTACTGCCAGTCCTAAGTCTGCAATACAGCAAGTTCCATTCTTCTTTACCAAGATATTCTTTGATTTCAAATCTCTGTGAGCAATGGCTGGCTTTCCTATAGAATAAAAAATTAATCATGATTGCTTCAAAGGTAATACCAATCACAACTCTCACCTTCAGGTTCAAAAGCCACTTCTCTCGACCAGTATCAAAGCATTTCAGCCCACATCACTCGCAAGATATAGTCCATTTCTAAAGAAACTCCAGTGAATCACTATACCCAAAGTTGTTGAATTTACATGTCTTTAAAGAAAAGATATAATAAGATGCTCCAAAAGATGAACAACTCAAAGATCGAAGGTGAGAAAAGTTATCAGTTTCTCTGTTGGCACCCTCATGAACTTTTTACAAGAACCCTAGTCACAGACTAATATTCCAGCCCAGGAACCATGCATGTAGATCATCACTTCCTTTTCCTATCAACTGGAGTGCACTCATTATTAAATGTATTATCTGTAATATAACCACTAGAAAAAGTTCTAATAAAAAATAGTAATTATTGGCTCACGCCTGTGATCCTAACACTTTAGGAGGCTGAGATGGGTGCATCATTTGAGGTCAGGAGTTCAAGGCCAGCCTGAGCAACATAGTGAGACCTCATCTCTATTTTTAAAAAAAAAAGTCAGGTGTGGTGGCATGCTTCTGTAGTTTCAGCAACTTGGGAGGTAGAGGCAGGAGAATTGCTTGAGTCCAGAAGTTCAAGGTTGCAGTGAGCTGTGGTCATGCCACTGCACTCAAGTCTAGGCAAGAGAGAAAGACCCTGTCTCTAAATAGTAATAATTACAATGTGGAAAACTTGGAACCCTCAAATACTGCTGGTAGGACTGTAAAATAGTTAAGGCACTTTGGAAAAACTACCTGGCAGTTATACAAACCATTAAAGAGAGTTACCATATGATACAGTAACTCATCTCCTAGGTATATACTCAAAATAACTAAAATAACTAAAAACATATATCTACATAAAAATTCGTACATCAATGTTCTTTGCAGCATTATTCATAATAACCAAAAGTAGAAACAAGCCAAATGTTTGTCAACTAATGAATGGATACACAAAATGTCCATACAATGAAATTACTCAGGATATTAATATTAAAAAGGACGAAAACATTAACACATGCTACAACATGAAAGAACCTTGAAAACATGCTAAGTGAAAGAAGCCAATCACAAAAGACTACATATTGTATGATCTATTTACATAAAATGTTCAGAATAAGCACATCTACAGATTTAAAGCAGGTTAGTGGTTGCCAAGGACTAGGTGGTTTGGGGGGAAAGGGGAGTGACTGGAAATAGCTATGTCTCTTTGGTAATAAAAATGTTCTAAAATTGCCTGTGGTGTTAGCTGCACAACTCTGTAAATAGTCTGAAAGCCACGGAATTGTACACTTTAAATGGGTGAATTACATAATATAAGAATTATAACCCATGCTATCATCAATAAAAGTAATTACAAAGATTAGACTAAGCAGGAAGTGGGGGAGCCATTGGTAGCAAGGGGTCAATCGCTACAGCAGAGAGATATAATAGCATCTAAAATCCTACATGGTACAAATAGCATAGCATAAACATTTCATAAATAAAATTTAGTATTTAATTTTCCAACTATAAAACTATCTCATGCAGTCTCCTTATTCCAGGGCCAAATACAAGTATTAGATGGTCAGATTTACATAGTACGCTGATGCTTACAAAAAGCACTTTGACATTTGATACTACACATAAAAATATGTTCACCTAGACTGGAATTCTGAAACTGAGATCCTCAAAAATCATAAGCAAGACTGAATACTACTTTTAAGAACTCATTAAAATATGATGGTGCCGTTACAATGACTAGAGAATCTCTAAGCAAATTCCCAGATTCCTAACTCTGAGATTTTCCACAGAAATGATCTCATTTTAAATATCTCCAGTTAGGCTGACTTCTATTTTCATATACATTATTTATGGGAATTGGAAGCTTAAATAGTAGAACTGCTTATGGAATTACCTTGGGTACCAACAATTTCCATGTGAAGATGGGCAAGACCGCTTGCTGTGGACAGAGCGAGCTTTATCATTCCTTCCACAGTAACTGTGTATCTGTTCAAGTAATCAAAAAGGGATCCATGCTCATGATAATCTGACACCAGCCAGAGCTGAGTCCAAGTACCATTGTCTGTGAAAGAGAATAACAAAGTTTCAGTTGGGTTGTAGAACATTTATGGCTTATTTATTCAAAGGTTATTACTTTTTACTCTCAATCCTGAATCACTCAACTGCAAAATGATGCCGTCCAAGTTTGTATGCAGTTCCTTAATATTTTCTTCTATATTCAGCTTGTCTTATACTTTTGTATATATACCCTTTAGATCCTCAGAGTACGCCCCCTATTCTTGAAATAAGGCAAGAATAATTAATTCCACTTAAGAGACAAAGATGGCAACTTTCTTAAGTCTACCTAGTTAGTAGCAGAGCTGGAACTCTTGAATGCCTAGAAATCTGCCTGGATTAGGTTAGGTGCTCAATGGCTGTTTATAGAAGGAGAGAAGGAAAAAAGGTGGGCAAAAGGGAGGGAGAAAAGAAGAGAAGGAGATAAGAAGCATCTGGAGCCCAGTGTGACTTCCACGGGAATAGAACAGTATGGGGCAAAACTGAAAGTGAATTTCAATGAGAAATGACAAGTTTTAGTGACAGACTGTGTACATAGTTCACAAAGACACAAGACAAGATTATGATTCCAAGGTTGCTAGCTTAGAAAAAAAATAGCGGCATCTATGACACACAGGAAAGCTGAAACAGGAACTGAAATGTCAGGAGAAAGAGCTGGAAAATCTGGGATTGAACCCAATTTTACACAAAGTGATCTTGAACCTAAATAACTAGGAACATGGGTTCCAAAAGTTCCTTGGTAAGCCAATAGAGGAATTTGAAATGCGTTTCCTTACAGGAATAATGATAAAGATTCTGGCTAGGTTCCTAGGCTAGACTGGTCCACAAAAGCTGATTTAACCTAAAAGTAGCTGGAAAGCCATACATTTAATTAAATCATGAAGAAAAAAGGCATCACAACGTTAGGAGACAGCATAATTCAGCAAAAGATACACACTTGGAGTCATTCTGACCTGGGCGGGAATACAGGGCTTGCCTGTTTTTGATCATACAAACTTCAGACAAGTTACTTAACCAACAAGTCTCTTGTCTCTTCTATACAACCTTACTTTGTTAAGAAGATTTTAAAAACAAAATACTAGATTTTTTTTTTTTTGGCAGTTAGTACATGATTATTTAAAATGTGCTGTTTCCTTCCCTACTAGTTGCAAAACCAAAGGAAGAAAATCAGATTGACATAAAGCAACTTCTATATTTTGAGGTTTTTACTTGAAGAAAAGCAACTCTGATTAGAAGAGATTAAGAAAGGAATGAGAACTTTTTTAAAGATTCTGGAGAGGATTCCTGGGTACTTTCACAAGGACTTGGATATTTGTAACACCAGTTCTTTACTGACTTGTTCTTCATAAAACTTCATAAACTGATTCTGTCCAAACTTGATATAGGCACATCACTAGCTTATTTGAGTGCCTATTAATCATGACTGGATTTTCAAAGGTTCACAAACATAAGAAATAAAGAGGAAGACACGCAGACAAAAGAAGAAGCGATCTTCTCAGATTACTGACAAGAGAGGCAGAAGGAAGGTTATATAAGGCGCCATGCATATAAAGGGCTGCCTGAGGTGGAATTAACTAAATCAGGAGGATGATGATAAAGAAAAAGGGAACTGGGGTGGAGGCACTAGGTTTAGAGATTGCGCATTAACCCCTGACAAAGAAGAAGGGTGTAGGGGAGAGCCAGTAGGTCAGCTAGTTCCCATGGTGACCACCAGATGACAGCATCAGCTCAGTCTGTGCTGGTGTGTTTGCAACTTGGAATATGCTGAAAATAGATCCTGGGTAAGATTTAAGCTTCAGAATGAAGAACTGAGAGTCATTACCATGGCAGAGTTTGAAATCATGAATGTGGGTAAGTTCTTAAAGGAGCAATTATTATTTGTAGAACTAGAGCCTTCATACAAATCAGTAAGAAGAATAAGAGTATGAGAAAACAAAGACAACTATTAAGAAATACAAAGAAACACAGAAATAACAGAACAGAATAATGAAAAGGTTGTTTTAAGAGCTGGAAGAGGAGTCAAATGGTGTCAAAGGAAGTTGAAAATGAGAATAAAGGATCTAATCAGACTGTGATTACTGTTTTTGTTTTGTTTTTAAATTATGTAATATTGAATTGTTAGTAGCCATTGATAATCACTGCCTATATCCATCAGTGCTTGTCATAATAAAAAATTATATGCATCCTCATGTGATACAATAGGAAGTATGCAATATCTCTAGCAAGTATTTTAAGAAAACCAACAACACTCCAATTAGATTTAGCCTCTAAACTGACTACTAGTTTTTAGAAAATACAGAGAAGCAAGTTAAGGGAATTCAATTAATAAAATCCAGGAAGTGATAAACCTTACAGGACTAACAATCCAGTTTATTCAGCAAATAAAGTACAAGAAGAAGGAAAAGATGGGAGGGAAGCCTAAAGATTTTAAGGACCGTAAGAGAAATAGGAACCAAATGAAATGTGTAGACGTAAGATCATAATGTGAATAAATGATTATTTTTTTTAAAATAAAAGACAATTGCAGAAATTTGAACCTAACTGGATATTTGATGACATTTTGAAAATTGGCAATGGTAGTAAGGTTGTCTCATAAAAAAGCCTTCTCATTGTTTCAAGATACAAATTACAAGCACTTACAGATGAAAAGATATATGTTATCTGAGACTGGCTTCAAATAATGCAGTTAGGGGCAGAGTAGGCGGGATCAGAGATCAATTATGGTTGGCATAATTGTTGAAGCTGGATGATGGGGGATCATTCACTATCCTCTACTTTTCTATATACTGGAAATTTTCTATAAATAAAAATTAAAAGATAAACAAGTAGTACATGCTTGTTGTACATAAATTTGAAAATACAGAGAAGCAAAAATAAAAACCATAAAAATCACCTGTACTCATCAAATGAGATTAAACAATAGTTATTTTAAAGAAATAATTTGTTGAAGAAAATTGAAGGAAAGGAAGGTGATGATAGATCTGTCCAAGTTAAAAAAAAGACGACAGCATTTGGTTTTTTAATAGGAAAGCTGGGAAATACATTTGACTCAGGGTGAAAAGACAAGAGTTTAGATGTAACCGAAGTCCCTGACAGAGGCTGTAAGGGTAGGAATAGTGGGCACAAAGGTATTATTAATGGACAGCAAGAATGTAGAAGCAGCATAGTACTAGGTCACTGCTTCAGTCACCACTCATTCTAGCTGCCCATGAACCCGGCTTCCTTACTTCTTCAACATCTGATTTGACTCTGTGCTACAGACACCTGTGCTCCAGATAAGAAAGTGTCCACATGGTCACCAATGGCAGGCTGGTTTGGGAAAAACTTTCTCTCTTTAGCTGGTTTACTTAAAAGATTAATCTATTTGACCCTTGACAACTCAGAACACAATACATTGGGAAGTCATTTTTACTCTCCCCATAAATAAGGTCCTTGATCTATATTGAAGTAGTCAGGAAGATATCAAAACAACACAGTTATCTGAGCCCTATCCTACCTCAAAATTTTGAGCAACCAGAGTTTATACATTTTTCTGTATTATGACTATACTCAATAACTAACTATCCAAAACCAAAATAACAAAGTACATGGCTTTTTAAAATAGCCATTTTACATTTTATAAAACAATTAGAAATTTAGGAACATGTTAGAGGTCAAGAAAATCTTCAAAGGTCCTATTTCTAAAAGTTTTTAATGTACTGTATTTGACTTAATGGGGCTGATCTACATGTCAAACACCAATTTCTCATCTAATTTGATGATGTTTAAAGGACAGTCAAAGCTGGGCTCGGTGGCTCAGCCTGTAATCCCAGCACTATGGGATTGATGTTTAGTAGCCATATCTGTAAAAAGGCTCACATAGATTTTGTTATATTCAACATAAGGAAAAGCACATATCACCAACCTTTATTGTCTGCTGCTATAAATCCCAGGATGTTTTCATGACGTAGCATTACAGTTTGATAAATCTCTGCCTCACGGAACCATGAGCGTTCTTCTCTAGAGGAAAATATCTTCACAGCAACTTCTTCTCCCCGCCACTTTCCTCGCCAAACTTCTCCAAATCGTCCTTTGCCAATGCTTTCTTGTAACACAATAGTTCTTGCAATTGTTCTCTGAACAAGCAATGGTAAACCTAAAGATAAAAAAAGTATTACCCAACACAAACAATCAAACCTCATGACAGGCACTAGTGAATGACTCAGAAAACTTATACCTTAAACCATACCTTTAAAACCTTACTGTTTTACTAGGCAGACATCATCTTCACTTGCAATACGATAATTTAAAAAGGAAAATAAGATAATAAATACAATAAAATACACCAGAAACTCTTGCCTAGAGGGTCAGGATAAGCTTTGTAAAGTAAGATAAATTTTGACCATTCTTTTTTTTTTTTTTTGAGTTGGAGTCTCACTCCATTGCCCAGGCTAGAGAGCAGTGGCATGCTCATGGCCACCCCAGCGTCGACCTGCTGAGCTCTGGCTATCTCTCTGCCTCAGCCTTTCAAGTAGCCGGAACCACAGGCGCGTGCTACCACACCCAGCTATTTTTTTTTTTTTTTTTTGTAGAGACAAGGTCTTGACAAGTTGCCCAGGCTGTTCTCGAACACACGGAGTCAGGCAATCCACTCGCCTTGGACTCCCAAAGTGCTGGGATTACAGGCTGAGCCACCGAGCCCAGCTTTGACTGTCCTTTATAGAAGGTATAGGAAACAAAGGAGAAGAGAAGGACAGTCATTAGGTAGGAGGAATATGCAAGTAAAGATAGAAGGACATGAATGATACATGTTCAGGGCACGTGAGCTTAGATAATCAGAGAGAGGATGCATGTGGCAAACAGTGAAAAATGTTATAAGTTGTCACTAGAAGATAGAGTACTGAATATCAAGCTCAAAATGACCGATGCAAACTTTAGGTAAAAGAGGAACTATTAAAGATCTCTGGAAAAAAGGGCCATGAATGAGGGAGAGAGAATTTTAAAATTTTATTTTAGAAAGATGAATGTGGTAATGGTTTTAGTGATGGGAGGAGAAAAGGATGTGAACACAAGAAACACAAAAGTAAATTCTGGCCTAACTTTTAATACATCAGTAAAAGTCATCACAGAAATATCAAGGCAAGCAATTTTTTTGCTAGGAACTGGCTCACAGGCAACTCTAGTATCTTGAAAAACAATGCCTTGGTAATGGGTCATTGTTTCACTAATTGAACTTGTCTTACGCCAAAATGCATATATTTAAATACTACCATACATAAGGATTTGCTAACTACAACATTTAAGTGGCACTATATTTGAGATAATCACTTATCTCCAACCACTAAGAAACTGTAATTTTAAATAATACTGATTCTAACAATCAAAATGCCAGTTTACATCATGTTCCTCACCAGTATCTTATTTATACAAGTTATGTACACATACATTTGTGTCATTTATAATCTATACTCAAAGTTGCTTGCTAGATCAAACTAAATCAATGATGGGAAAATAAATTATCTGCTCTCTTTGGTTCCTTGATTTGAAATGCTTATAAACCCAAATGCTAAATCATTAGTGATCAGAAGTTCTCTTTTCACCTTTAAGTCTCTCAAATAGGTCCTTTCTTACTCTTGCAAAGCACCTCCCTATCTCCTGCCAAGTAGTTAACAGCGTAACTATAAACAATTATTTTTATTTATAAGGAGACTGCTAATTAAAAATATATCTGTAAGAAATCCTTATTTAAACCAAGGAGCTCCTTTGTACTATGAAAAACCAATTCCTAATTATGTTGTTTAATGTAGATACTAAATTTGTCAAATTTTCTTAAAGCCTTGTATAGAGCCATACTATGAACTTAAAAGTACACTTGAGACTTAATCTCAGGAGACTAATGTGGAAGTTACAAAGGCAAGTAACATAGAAGAAAAAGGAATCACAAACAGAAAGTCTGGAAATGCCTGACAGGTTCAGGACTCGCGTAGAGTGTACAGCCAAGAAAGGCTAACAGGACAAGTGAAATTTTCATCTTCACCTTCACTGATGGATTCTGGATGCAGAACTAAAATTAAAAACCAATCTATATTCACTGTATTATGTCTACTGGATCACCATACCTCACATAAATAAAGATTTTTTAAAAGTAGCAATTTCTTCTAAAGACACAACTAAACATAGGTCTAATTTAGAGCTATATTCTCTGCTTTACCCTCCTGTACTTTTAGAACTGCTTAAGAAAAAACTTCAGTGGGGAAACAGGGCCCCTGCAGGGTCACACGTAGTGAACAATGGAAATGAGACCTGAACAACATGCATGTATTACAAGAGAACGTAAGCAAGCACAAGACATGAGAACACTGGCCTAAAAGACTTGCTCTTTCAAAAGCTAGCACACATGAATATGCACAAGCTCACACCACAGGGTTAGAGCTGCCAGAACTCAGCTCTTCACTGTCTTCCCTGAGGTTTCTAAGTTAAAAGTACGGTCTTTGAAAGGTAAAGATAGGATCTTTCCTTAATTATGGTCATGGTACTGAGTAATAAACATGTAAATTCAAAACATGAAATGCTTAGTTTTACCTTTTCCTCCATGAATAAAAGAACTAAAAAGTGCATAGACGTTTTACTTATTCACAGGCATGAATCCCATGCATAAGGAGGCATTAAGGATTTATAATGAATAGAAAGGAAACAGATGGCATTTTCTGCTATCACTCAATAGAAGATAGCTTCTGCCTGGATAAGTTCGGAGGGAATTCAGTACACAATGAACTATGAAGGATGCCTTAATCTAAGCTTTTTTGTCAAATGCAGTAAATTTCTTCCAAATATGTTTTCAATTAACATTTGTCACTTGGACATAACTTTACAATTTATCAAGTGACTTCATGTAAACATCTTGTCTCACTTGAACTTCATAACAATTCAATGATGTGCATAGGACAGTGTTCATCAGTTTCACTTACAGATAAAATAATTCAAGCATGAGACATCCACTAATTGCCCAAAGTCACAGAACTAGCAAGTGATGTAGACAAGTTTTTGCAGGGTAAGGCATAAAAGGAGGGAGAGAAGCTTTCAGACAATGGGCAACTGAGGTCCCTGATGGATCTATAAATATATATAAAATGAAAAAAATTCCATCCTTTATTTCATGTCTACATCATAAAAGGTAAACAAATATGTTCATATTCAGAAATCAACTGTCATCCACCCAGCAACTCCTGTTAATTATTTAGGTGGGCTTGTTCTGCTCTGCCAAGTGGTATGAGCTGCTATGATTTCCCTGGGTCTAAGTCTGGCAACAAGTGACTAGGTCCAAAGGATTAATTCCAAATGATCTGCAGCCACCCTGATTTTTCTGTGACTTTGGTCCTTGCTTATCATAGCTTTAGACCAGGATAACTTCTAGAATAGTTCTGTGGGAAACATTTAAACTCAGAATAAATGGGAAACTCCAGGAAAGCAATAAAATAACCTCTCCACCACTCCCACCCAAAGACTATCATCACATCTTCAGTACTCAGGCTGCTCCATGTCAGTCCCACCTCTCATTGCTTTCCCCCTACAACAGTCTCAGAAGTCCCTAAGTTTGCCTTTTGAGACCTATGTTCTAGTGTAAGCCTGTATGTGTCCCAGTAGTTAAAGATAAAGCTCACTTATTGAACATGTATGGCCAAATTTTATAGAAGACTTCTAAATGAATGAACAGATATGCATTTGTACCAACATATATTCATTTCCTTAAAATAGACGTTTGTTATTATATAAGCTCTACATAATATTAGGTTTGATTCTATGCTTCAAAATATTCCTCCCAAGTCACAACTTCTGCTTTACTGCTCCTTTAATATCACGTGATTATAAAATTATGAAATTTTCATTATATATCTTTTCAAATCTTTATCTATAAATTTAGCCCATATTTGAGGGTGATTTATATTTTTCAAAGGACAGTTATATCTCATTCAAAAGTCTTAGCAAATCACTCTAAGTATTATTATCAACAGAATCTGTTCCATATTTCTGATGAAGAAACAGAAACCCAAAGAGGAAATATGGTTTAAACAAGGTCATATAGCCAATCAATGACAAAGCTTACACTGGAACCCAGATCTACTGATTACTTGCAAAATATCAAATTCCGAAGAGGAATAGGGTGGTTCTACTTCCAAATCACATGCAAGAAAAAGTAAAAGATAATTCCCCTTAGATTTAAACACGAAGCATCGCTATGCCAAAACCCACCTTGGGATGTATCTGGCAATTAGCCAATCTATTTCTGATCCCACGAAAAACAAACAAAACTGAGAAAAGCAAATATCACAGGAGTCATGGATCCACAAAGCTATATTATAACAAGGTAGTTAGACTTCTTTTCTAAATTAGTGATAAAATAACTAAGAATTCATTAGCTTTATTTTAAAAACCCAAGTCTGTGCTAAAGATATCAATTTCATATGTTAAAAAAGCAAATAACCTTCACAATTCCAAACACATTTCTGTCATGCCTGCTTCCAAATATAAACCTCATGCTGCTAAACATTCCTGAATAGAATGAATAGCAACAGATCATTTGAACAGCTTTGAATTCAGCCTCATTTATATGAGAATAATTGTCCTTATCCTTTCTACCTCACATAGTCATGAGAGGCAAATTACATTATTTAAGTGAGAACACTCAAATTTATACAGTCATGGAGTTGACTTACTAACTGACTTGTCTCAACAAAGTTCCGATTTGTCTATTTTAAACTAGTCACAGCCAAATATAGACCAAATTAAAGACCTTTATTAGGTTCAAACATGGAATATTGTTTACACTATCTCCAATTTTAACAAACTGAGCCAAATTAGCTTAGCAAACAAAATAAATACCACAGTTAATTTTCAAAAGCCTTCTGAGGAAAAAAGAGAAATAATTATATTACCCGATCCAGATCCTGATGTTGTCATATCATAAATTAAATCCTTTAGCGTAGTACCCTCTGAAATAAAAGGACGATCTAATGAAGGGTCCTCTTCATTTGGCACGCGATGGTGGATGACAGTGCGGTTATGGCAGATATAGACCATCAACATGAGTGAGATGCAGACAAAGCAGACTGGTCCAGCAATGACAGCTGCCAATTCCACGGGACCAAGGCCAGGTGATGGCTTTACTGAAAAAGGGCCAAGTGAAATAAACATCAACAACAACAAAAACTTTGTAAGTGGCACCCACACATTCCTAATCCTCCACAATTCCTGCAATTGGCCACTACCACCATTGAGCCAAAGAGCCTCACACAGAAGTTCATAGGGCTCAAACCCAGAACAAATGAATCATTCAGTCTTCTATTGGCCCTCTTGTTATGAACACCAGCTGTCCGCATCCACTTACTCTTTTTTGTATTCTCCAACCATTATCTAAATCACAAGGCCAGCTTCCACCAACACCCGAAGGCCTCCCCCTTTATCACCTTAGGTCATCATAATAAAGAAACTAATAATCTGGAATAACTCTCATTAATGTTTCCTTAAAGGTTGGGCAGGGTGGCCCACACCTATAATCCCCAGTGCTTTGGAGGCAAAGGAGGGAGGACCGAACTGGGCAACAACACAAGACCCTGTCTCTACATAAAAATTTAAAAATTAGCCAGGTGTGATGGTACACTTATATTCCCAGCTGCCCAAGAGGCTGAGGCAGGAGGGTCACTTGAGCCCAGAAGTTCAAAGTTGCAGTGAGGCTATAATCAGATCACTGCACTCCAAGATGAGCAACAGAGCAAGACCCTGATGACAGGGGAGGGATCTTCTTAAAGGCTGTCTTTTTTTTTTTTCTTTTTTAAGTACTTTTGGCTTGTCTTCTTGTTCCAAGACAAATACATGCTCATAGCAGAAAAAAATATTTATAAATACAGATAAGATATATAAAAAATATATATCTATAGCTGAACCACCCCTAAACAACTCACATTTTAGTGTGTGTATGCATGTGTGTGTGTATATGTACATATATATCTTACCAATTTTTTACAGGCAAAATATATCCTTAATTTTTAAAATATAGTTTGTACATATATCCTTTCTAGGCTATTTTAAATACCTGGACTTTTAATTCCAGATCATTTTCCTATAATCTCTTTTAATAATTAACAATTTGCATTGTTTCAGAATCATATTACAATTATTTTGACATTCATCCTGAGCCTTGCTGGTTCACTGCTCACCAGCATTTCCATCTTATCACATCTTTCCCATGCTTAAGATCTTCATTTGGATTGACTGTTTTCATATAGAATCCTATTTCTAGTAATTTCTTCCCAGAAGAGTCCATGTGTCCTAAGTACTTAATTATCAAAAGATGGCTGTTGCTTTTGCAGTATATAAAAAACCTTGGTTTAAGAATTTTGGGTAACAATATATAATGCTCCATTACCATCTGATACTTAAAAAAGAAAATTAGAACTGCTTTTTTTTTTTTGCCTTTTATAGGTAACCAGAGTTTTGTATGCTAAATGTGTACTCAATTTTTTTATCCATAAAATTGTTACTTTTTATCATGGGTATTTGGGTTAATTTTTTTTTCATTAATTTTGCCCGATACGCTTCTCTTCTTTCTGTTCACGTGTCTTCTTCTGGAATTCATAATTATAAGCATATTGGATCATCTAAATCTGTCCTCTATATCTCTTAATTTGCTCACCAACTGTCTTTTTTTCTAAATTGTAACACAATTTCTTAAGCTTGTCTCAAACTTAACTATAAAATTACAGCATCCAGTCTGCTGTTCACTCAATACTGCATTTTTTAAAACATTAATCCATTGAGTTTTTCCGTCTGAAAGCAACCTTTAGCAACTGCGAAATGTTCTCATTTCATGGTGAACAACTGAAAATAGACCTCAGACTGTCTGAAAGTTCTTCCCTATCATGTGGTAAACCTATTTCATAAGAAGACATCCACTATAACTTATCTAGTTCAGATACCTCTTCTGAACCCCAATCTTCTCCTCTGGTAAGTTTTGGCTGTTTGCTTATCCTGGAGTTGGAAACTGAAAGTTTATGTTATGTTTAGAATTACAAATTTGGTGACTTTTTTACGAGGGTTTGTAAATCTCTAGTAGGGAGTTCTATTTTATTGTAACCTTGAATGATGGCAACGAGAAATTCTGAAATTATTATTATTATTTTGCCATATTAGAATTGCAGGTGCTTTCCTAAAAGCCACTAGAAATTACAGTCTGACACAGCCTCACCATGGGGAGCTGCATTACCATGCTGAGCAGGTGGAGGGATGCCTTCCTTCTGTAACTGGCAGGACTGGCCTTTTCCCTCTGAGCTACATCTGTACTTCCTCCTTTAATTAGCACAAGGTCTGGACCGGCTCTGAGTGAAAAGCACATGTCTCTTCCTCCGAGCAAAAATGCCAGGTACTTTCTAAAAGGGAACTCAGAGTTTGCCCCTGTGGCCTTATCCCAAGTCCCTCATCTTAAGGTATTTGTGGGATTTTGAGAGGTTCTTTCACTCGTTTCTTATATGGTGAGTCAATTCTTCACTAGGCTGGTATCATCTGTACTATAAAACACAGAAGTTCCTCAAAAGTGTTGGCATGTGAGTGACATTCTTACATTAATTCCACCAGCATTAGGATAGATTTCTCCCATTTTTATATTCCTTTGGGAAAATGGTAAGAGTAAAATACATGTGCTCAGACTTCCATCTTAAGCCAGAACCTTAAAATAAAAGAGTTTATAAAGCCTTCAAAGCGCTGGCTCTGCTGGGACATTTAAAAATGTACACTATTGGGTAAAGGACTAAAAACCTAGACATCATGTATAATTAATTTATGCATAAGGATCATAAAACAAGGAGAAATAACAAAATTAAAACATCTGGACTGTTTAGTGCTGCTCTGCCACCACCCTTTAAAAGGCCATTGATTGCTTTAAAAAACAGAAGCATATGTAAAGAGGAAGAAATTCACTTTGAGGACAAAGTGGGAACACACTGCTGCTGTGGGCATTATCAGAATTTGCCTTTATGATGCTATCCTTTTAGACATAGCAGACTTCAGAGAAAGTCTATCCTGGAACTCTCTTCTCCAACAACACAGGCTCAGGAGGCAGGATCTTGGCTATTCTTATAAGTCCAGAACTATGGACAAGTCACCTCTCTTACCTCTAAACTGCCTAAGTTGGGATAGACAATTTCTATGATCCCTTTTAGTTCTAAAATCACAGAGTCTTAAGAGCTTTTCTCGTCGTATCCAGAAAAAAAAAGTCTTATACAGTAACTTACCAGTAGTAGGGAGATCTATTTTATTGCAATGGTCCTGATTGCAGCAATATGTTGTAGTCACAGACCCAGTTTTTGAAGAAGGTGCACATACAAATGGCCTGTCTCGAGGAATCAGGTCAATTTCAGCTATACACATGCTATTGTGGATAACCTTGTCTGTGGTTTCTGTGACAGAGACGAAGCAGAGCCCATCTGTCACACAAGTAAAATTATCTTTTGTACAGAGGTGGCAGAAACATTGCAATGCTGGGAGAAAAAGAAAAAGATTCTGTTAGGAAAAATCTCAAGGTAAACAGTTTGAAATTTTCCAGTATTCACTCCAATAATACATTATTGGTCCTATTAATCAAACGATATCTATGTACCATTCAAAAAACAACTATTTGTTGCTCTTAGACGTTCCAAATTCTGTTGCGAACCTCATACATGCAGAAGGCCAAGGAAATGTAATAAAATGTGGACCCAGGTTTTGCTTCCAAGTATAGAAAAAAATTTGTTACATGCAATTTCACTGAGTTAAGGCAAGCATTTGCCCTCACATTTGAAACAAAGTGCATTTAAATTTTTAATGGTTATACTTGTTATCAGCCCAAAACTATGCATTCACATACTCCTCCGCTGAGGAACAATGTGTGAAAACACTACCACCCACTCACTGTAGGTTGAAAATGCCATTTCAGTGGATTTATGCTAATGGAGTAATGAAAACAGATTTGTACTGAGCCAGACACTCTCTATTCCCCTTGGTGCAAACCCTAAGAAAGACATGTATCTACAGGCTAGAACTGGGGTACTCTCTGAGTGAAGTCAAGCAAACTATACCAGTAATAATACATATATGCTCTAACCACATTGGCAATTTAGCTACAGAAATGACTGGAGAAACATTAGCACCGTGTCCACTTGTTTCTACTTCGTCTTATGGCTCAACTCCAGGAGTGGTCCTTTAAGGAAGTCTTCTAATTATCACCAACATATTCCCATACACACAGATACACACACATATCTTCAACCATGCTCTCAAATAAGGTTAAGTGCTTCCCAAAACACACACTGCTTACCAGAAGTGATGTTTTCGTTTTCCTCTGCCCTATGAAAGCTACCTGAGGCCAAAGACATGTATGAATCATTTCTGTAAATCTACCATCTAGCATTGTGCCTGATACATAACAACATTCAAAAAATACTTGTTAAATGAGTGACAGGATGGGTGCTTACATTTCACCATGGTCTCATGAAACTGCAAAGCACAAACACGTTCTCAAGTCAAATCACACTTTCTGATTACTCCTTTGCAATGGAAAAGGAGAAGTCTAGGTACATGGAACAGCCAACCATGACAAGACCAAGGAGGTCCACCGTATCTAGAAGAGGAGTGGTTAGACAGATAGGTAGGCCAGAAGAAAGCTACCTGCCTAAACAGGTAACTTGCTATATAGGAAAGAGTTAACTCAACAGGACTGAGTTGCTCAAACCCTGCACATTTCCAAGAAAGGCCTGTCTTTAAAACTGGCCTCACTGGTTCCTGGGATTTGAGCTCTGAGCCTTAGGAATTCTCCCTGATAAGAATGTGTTTCTGTATGTTATACCTGATGTCTTGGGTCACATGGTACCAGTTTGATCAGATAGCTTATGCTAATGTGATTTACATTGAACACTTACTGTTGCTGGGGGTGGGGGAGGGCAGTGCAGTTTGAGTAGCTGAGGCCAGTCATGCAGGCACAGCAAGTTCTGTGACTGACCAAAAATAAACACCCTACACACCAAGGCTGATGTGAGCTCCCTGGTGGACACCAAGGCTCAGGTGAGCTCTCTGGCTGGCAACATTTCACACATGCTGTTACACACTGTTGTTGAGAGAATTAAGATCATCTATGACTCCACTGGGAGAGGACACATGGAAACTTGAGCCTGGTTTCTCTTGGACTTCACTCAAGGTTGTCTTTTCCTTTTGCTGATTTTAATCTGCAAGCTTTTGCTGTAATAAACCATAACCATGACTATAGCAGCTTTTCTTAGTCCTCTGAGTCATTCCAGCAAATCATCAAGCCTAAGGGTGGCCCTAGAGACTCTCATTCTCTTGCTTACATTCAGGAATGTCCTTGGTTAGTACATCTGTCTATTATCTTTACCGACTAATAGAAAGTTTAACCTTGATCATTATAAAAAATGTTTCTTTATTCAGACAGGTCAGCTATGAAGGAAACTAAAGAAAAGTACATGAGAGAGACACAATCATACTCTATTTAAAGACTGCTAAAAGACACAGTAGTTATTCATGATGATGTTTGGTGGTGATTATAGGTTCCCTTGTTATAACCCTTAAAGAGGGATTCTGAAACAGGAATTCATGGATTGACTTCAGGGTACATGAATCCCATAAACGTACAGACCAAATGTTTTATGTATTTGTATTTTCAAGGAGAAGGTCTGTAGCTTTCAATAGACCCTACAAAGGAATTTGTGATCCACAAGAGATTAAAACCACCACAACAGGAGATTTTCATCATTTCCTCCTAAATTCTCTTTACTCATAATTAGTCATTAGTATACAAAAATTAATAACCGATGGTCACAGCCCTTGAAGAGTCCCAATGACTAGTGAAGAAGAATATTACAGTATAATACGGTAACTGCTATCTATTTTTAAAAGTTGCTATGACAGTTCTCCCAGTTCTAAGATCACTGTGGTCCTCTAATATACATGAGAAACAGGCTAAACACTTGACCTAACAATTAAGTCTTACTTTTGGGTTTCAATTCATCTCTCACATTATGTTCCAATTAATCTCTCACATTATAAATGCTATCTATAGCCACACACTTCTCACTATAATAATCATGTCTTTCATGACCTTGGTCATGACACATACCACCTCTTTGCCTAGTTTAAACCCATCCTCTTATCCACCTCTCATTCTTTAAGACCCTATTCAACAAGATTTTTTCCATGATGTGCTCTAAACCTCTCCTCTACCCTCATGATCACTGGTAGCTTCTTTCAAAGTTCCAAAGCCCTCCTTGCATACATACCTTTGGGACAGTACAAATCAATCTATATCTAGTTTCATGTTAAAGTGTCTTTCATTACCTTAAGAAATGTCAAGTTTGTTTTCTATTGTTTTTCACACTTTGAATCCTAGACACTTAGATAGCGATCAGAAAAATATTTGCTCAAACAGTGTTTCCCAAAAAAGAGGTCATAATTATATCAGGAAAGGAAAGGAAGTGTGAGAACTGTATACAACTTTAAAAAAAAATTTATTTCAAAGATACTCTAAAAACAAAGATAAACATTCAAGATCATGAGTCACCACCATCTAAACAAGCAGTGGCACCTAGCTTTCACTGCTGCTTCTTCAGCTGTGTGAAGAAGATCTCCTTCAGGACAAGTGTCCCTGGGGCACACTATACACAGAGCAAAAATTTTATGGAAACTGTAAAAGAAAGTAAAAAATTTATGGAACTTGAATCGTCAGAGCATACAGCAACAGAGGCATGGCATATTAAAAGCCAATACTTAACAGCCAATACACTATATATGCACTTTATTACATGCAAGTGTCATATGGGTCCTATCTTTGTAGTATAATTTGCAAATGTTCAGTTGCAGTACGTGTGATTGTAAGTATGCAATAATGTTTTTCCATTCACAATTCCAGCAATAACTGAAAATCATTTAATGAAGATTTCAATAATGCAATAATGTTAACCTTATCTTCCAGTGAACAATATAACTGACATCTCATTAAAACTTATAAAATTATATTTGAGGAATGCTTGCTGCCAAGTGTTTTGATTATATATGAAGTCTTATTATCCTGAACTTACCAACAGAGTCTTGAAGCCATTAACACCACCTTGCACAACACTGCTGATGAGGTACTCACAGCTTTTATTATCACTGAAGTTAAAATACAGAAACAGATTTAAAATGTAATTAGACCTAAAGCTATTTTTTCCTACCATGAAAACTAAACATCATCTGTCACACTGAAAATTGTACCCTTTTGGATTTTTTTTGTAATTGTCTTTGTATTTAATATACAAATTGGTTTATAGTGGTAGATGAGCCAAAAACATAAGGATTTTATATCTAGTTTCATGTCTATATAATTTAAGCAACATCATGAAAAATACATTGTGTTCTCCTTTCAAAGGGGTCATTGCATTAGGGTATACTTGAAGAAGTCAATATTAAAGAACTTCTCTTAACTACTCTTTCAATAAGAACAGGTCATTAGACAAATATAAACATTATATAACACAAAGTTTAACAAGGCAAGGGTAGAATTTTGAAATTCTACTTCACGGTCTTCAAACAAGGCTCTAAGTCAGTCTTGACTGCTTTATATTACATGGTAAAATAGCTTAGGGAAAAACTAATACAGGAATTTAAAAATTCCCATGAATACATTAAGTTTTAATTGTCATTAAAAAAAATTCAAATCTATTTTATTCATAGATAAATCTGGCCTGTGGCTACCTTCCCACCCCCTTTTATTATATTAGGTTTTTGTTTTGTTTTAATTTTTAAATGCATGTACAGGGCAAAATTTCAATTTTAAAAAGGTATACAATGATGTTTCCTTCCCACCACCCAAAAACCCAAGTTCCACTCTCCACTTCCCACCACAAGCCCATCAACTTGACTCTTTCATCTGAGTCTGCAATTATCCACTGGGTAGCTCTATATGCCAGGTATCTCTACTGTAAATGTAGGGATGAATAAGACACGGTATTTGCACTTGAGTATTTCATGAAGGTGGAAGAGTAAGGCATTAAACAGATAATGAAAATCCTGAGTCCCAAGAAGAATGATCACAATGCTCTAGTTCTGCTGAGGCAGAAGACAGCTATCAAGAAAAGTTTCACAGGGCATTCAAGTCAGAACTTGGAGAATATGTACAATTTGCTGGATAGTTGAAAGCTATACTGACTGGGCTTTTTGGATTTTTTTTTGTTTTTTTCCTTTAGTGGCAGGATTTCACCTTTCATGGCTAGCATCCCAAGTAAGATAACCAAATTTAAAACTGAAAAATTTAAGTGAAATCAAGGTGTTATCAAGATGTTAACAACAATGGTCTCGTTTTATCAACAAAATGAACCTAAGACCTCCCTGGCCTATTTTATCATCAAATGAGATAGTGTCCATTAACACATTTGGAAATTAAACATAGAGTTATCACACATGATAAATTCCATTGTTCCAAACATGGCTTTTACTTGCAGGTCACCAAAGGAAC